AACATGGTGAGACCTTGTCTCTACTTAAAAAAACAAATTAGCTGGGTGTGGTGGTGTGTGCCTGTCATCCCAGCTACTTGGGAGATTGAGGCTGGAGGAGCTAGAGGATTGCTTGAGATGGGGAGATTGAGGCTGCAGTGAGTTGTGATGACGCCACTGTACTCCAGCCTGGGTGACAGAGCAAGACTGTCTCAAAAAGAAAATTAAAAACTTTTATATTTCAAAGGATATTATCCTGAAAGTGAAGGCAACCCACAAGGAGAAACTGTTCACAAGTCTTATATCTGATAAGGGTCTGGTATTCAAAATGTACAAAGAACTCTTAGAACTCAATAAGAACCCTGCAAAATAAAAAGGTCTGCAAATATTTTCTCCCAGTCTTTTCATCCTAACAGGATCTTTTGCAGAACAAAAGTTTTTTAGTTTGATGAAGTCCAGTTTATCTATTTTTTCCTTCGGTTGCTTTGCATTAGGTGTCATGTGCTTTGGTTGTTTTTAGGTTGTGCTTCTGCTTAGGTTGCATGTGTTTTTGATGCCTATGAATGTGCAGTTGCTCTAACATCGCTTGTTGAAAAGGCTATTATTCTGCCATTGAAATGCTTTTTATGCCTTTGTCAAAATTATTTGGCTGTCTGATAAGGGATTTCAGTCTAAAATATATAAAGAACCGCCGGGCGCGGTGGCTCAAGCCTGTAATCCCAGCACTTTGGGAGGCCGAGGCAGGTGGATCACAAGGTCAACATGGTGAAACCCCGTCTCTACTAAAAATACAAAACATTAGCTGGGCATGGTGGCACATGCCTGTTATTCCAGCTACTCAGGAGGCTGAGACAGGAGAATTGCCTGAACCCAGGAGGCGGAGGTTGCGGTGAGCCGAGATCACGCCATTGCACTCCAGCCTGGGTAACAAGTGAAACTCCGTCTCAAAAAAATAAAATATATAAAGAACCCTTACCATACCACTTAATAAAAAGAAAGGCCAGGTGCAGTGGCTCATGCCTGTAATCCCAGCACTTTGGAAGGCCGAAGTGGGCGGACCACAAGGTCAGGAATTCGAGACCAGCCTGGCCAACATAGTGAAACTCCGTCTCTAGCTGGGCATGGTGGGTGGGTGCCTGTAATCCGAGCTACTCAGGAGGCTGAGGCAGAAGAATCACTTGAACCTGGGAGGCAGAGGTTGCAGTGAGCACAGATCGCACCATTGCACTCCAGCCTGGGCGACAGAGCAAGACTCTGCCTCAAAAATAATAATCATAATCATAAAAAAAAGCCAACTAATAAATTGACAAAGGACTTAATAGGCATTTCTCCAGAGAAGATATGCGGTAGTCAGTAAGCACGCCATTGTTAGTCATTAAGGAAATGACTCCTTTACACCCACTAGGATAACTGTACTAAAAAAGACAAGAATTAAGTATCAGTGACTATATGGAGAAATTACAACTCATATGTACTGCTGGTAGGAATGTAAAATGGTACAGCTACTTTGGAAATCAGTTTGGTAGCTCCTCAAAAAAGGTAAACATAGAGTTATCATATGACCCAGCAATTCCTTTCCTTGCTACATACCCCAAAGAATTGAAAACAAGGACTCAACCAGATACTTGTACAGCAATGTTTATAGTAGCGTTGTCCACAGTAGCCAAAAGGTAGAAACAACCCAAGTGGCCATCAACAGATAAATGGGTAAACAAAATGCAGTACACACATATAATGGAATATTATTCAGCCATGAAAATGAGTGAAGTACTGATATATGTTTCAATATAGATGAACCTTGAAGACATTATGCTAAAGAAGCCAGACATGCAAGATTACATAGTATATTTTTCCATTTATATGAAATGTTCAGATTAGACAAATCCATCAAGAAAGAAAGTAGATTAGTAGTTAGTTGCCAGAGATTGGGGAAAGGGGAGAATGGGGAGTGACTGCTTCTGAATATGGGCTTTTTCTGGGTGTGGGTGGCATTTGATGTAGATGTTCTGGAATTAGATTGTAACGATGGCTGCAGAAATATATACTTAAAAACTGCTGAATTGTACCATTACTTAAAGGAGTGAATAGTATAGTATATTAATCATATCTCAGTTTTTGAATGGTGATAGGAAGTCACACTGGAGAAATAATCTCATTGAATCTGGAAGGGAAAGTTTATTTGCAAAATATCTGTAAAGGAAAGTTGTAAAATGAGTTTGGTTCTCAGAGAACTTCTAGGAAGTCATCTGATGCTTTTCTCTTTTTGTGATTGCCATTGACTTTGGTCACCTTTAGCATTTAACATGTCAGAGTTTATCTTGTGTTTTCTCAGGAGGCAATAGTTTTAGGATTTGTTTATTCAGAACATAGTAATGCATTATCCTATTAATAGCAACTCCATTTTGGAAAGGCTACTAATCTAATTTTGAGTCCTGGAAAAATAAGTGAATAAAAATAAGCAACTCATCCAACCTGTGCTTCAGTAGGATCAGCGCTAAATCTCCAGAGGACAGTCCTGACCCTGTTTTGGAAGGCAGGACTGGGAGGAAAACTGGCTGTTGAAGGCCCGATGGCCAATTACAGTCTAGGGATGGGGGCATCATTCCCCCTTGACAGGTGAGAAGCTGAGGCACAGAAAGATACCACTAGGCTGAAACTGCTGGATTCTTACTTTACCCACAGCTTGTTCTCAGCCTCCCTTCAGAAAACAAAAATGGGTTTAAGAACAGTGCTTCCATTATAAAATGTAGACGTGAATAAAAACAACGGATTGGTAGACTGCCTTACTGTGTCTTCAGCCCTGCCCCCTAAGCTGAGCTGATGACAGCCCTCTGTGGGGTGGGGCAGGTCTTGTCCTTATTGTACAGATGAAGGAACAATGCTCTGTGAGGAGTCCTGAGGGCAGAGGCCACATAGCTAGTGTGTCTGAGCCAAGGCCAGCCACCTATCCTCCTCTCCTCCCTGCTCCCCTGTCATCTCAGTGGGGAGTTATCCATTCTCCTCCTCCTTCGAAGATCCTGTCTGTTGTACACGCAAGGCCCTGAAAGCTACCTCAACAAGGATGTTTAAAAACCAACACGGCACTGGCCACTGGGCACCAAGAGCCACATGTCCTGCCTAGATGATGTTACATAACTGAAGAAGACTGGTTACATGTTACAGGTTAAGAAACTAATGACAGCAGAGCCATCAACAGTCCAGGCTGGAAATGGTGCTGGCCTGAACCAGGATCTTTGGGAGTGGATAGGGAAGCAAGTAGGGAGGAAGGAGTTCAACTGCTGGGCAGGAGAGAGAAATGGTGCAGTAGCACATTAGTGCAACAGACCTGGCCAGTGCAACAGACAAAACATTAGCTGGGCATGGTGGTGCGTGCCTGTAATCCCAGCTACTCAGGAGGTTGAGGCAGGAAAATTGCCTGAACCCAGGAGGCGGAGGTTGCAGTGAGCTGAGATCGTGCCATTGCACTCCAGCCTGGGTAACGAGTGAAACTCCGTCTCAAAAAAACAACAACAAAAAAAACAATGCATAACAAAAAAAAAAAAGAATGAATGAATGAATGAATGAAAAAAAAGGTCCAAATGGATGAGCGTCTCGTGCTCTTCCTGTCCCACATCTTCAAGGAGATAGGCAGATGGGAGAAGATAGAAAGCAAGAGGCACCTTCAGTGCCTCAGAAGCGTGGGACTGAGGGAGGGTTACTCTCACATCCGCCAGCTTAACCTGCTGTCGCTTTCTTGGTGTGCCAAAGGGCTGGGCCTCCCTGGGTTCTCTATCTGCTCAGCAGCATAGACCTGACTCCCAAGCCCTGGCAATCTTTTCTCCCGTTTTTATGGTTCAGCTTGCAGTAACATGCTATTTATAGTTCCTAGGGCCTCCCACTTTGGCCCTGTCCTTCTGTTAGTGTCTCTTTGTTATATAAAAAGTTACTGAAGACGGCCGGGTGCAGTGGCTCACGCCTGTAATCCCAGCACTTTGGGAGGCCAAGGCGGGCAGATCACGAGGTCAGGAATTTGAAACCAGCCTGACCAACACGGTGAAACCCCATCTCTACTAAAAACACAAAAATTAACTGGGTGTGGCAGCATGTGCCTGTAATCCCTGCCACTCAGGAGGCTGAGGCAGGAGAATCACTTGAACCTAGGAGGCGGTGGCTGCAGTGAGCTGAGACAGTGCCACTGCACTACAGCTTGGGCAACAGAGCAAGACTCCATCTCAAAAAAAGAAAAAAAAGTTAGTGAAGACTCACTAAATTAACTCATGAAGATGTGCAGATGGGGCTAGGACTGCTCTCAGACGATGACTAGTCTCCATAGCTTGGAGAGAGGCCTTCTCCTTCATGCCCAGGGGCTTGGTTCCCATACTGCTTCCTGGGCATTCACCAGTGCCCGTGGACACCATGTGTTGCCACACTGATGCATTTTACAGACGAGGAAACAGAAGCTCTGGAAAAGAATGTTGCTTGAGGCCATTTAGTTGGTCTCAATCTCTTGACCTCGTGATCCACCTACCTTGGCCTCCCAAAGCAAAGTGTTGGGATTACAGGCGTGAGCCACCGTGCCTGGCCCTTCTTTTTTTTTTTTTTTTTTTTTTTTTTTTTTTTTTTTTTTTTATTAAGATATAGTCTCACTCTGTCACCCAGGCTGGAGTGCAGTGGCGTGATCACAGCTCATTGCAGCATTGACCTCCTGGGCTCAAGCAATCCATCAAGAAAGATGGATCCTCAGCCTCACTGTAGGCTCACACTACCATGCCCAGCTAATTTCAAAATTTTTGTAGAGACAGAGTCCCACTCTCTTGCCTAAGCTGGTCTTCAACTCCTGGGCTCAAGCTATCCTCCTGCCTCAGCCTCCCCAAAGTTCAGGGATTACGGGTATAAGCCACCGTACCTGGCTGGGCCTGTTTCTTTTGCCTAATGAGTTATGAGTCCTTTCAAATGATTGAGCCTCAGGAGCCTACACTCTACTTTGTACCTGGAAGGGTACTTAGCAGACACTTGGCTTCATTTGTACCTTTGTTTTTCAGCTCTGTGCAGTGTGTCTAGAAGACTTCAAGCCTCGAGATGAGTTGGGGATTTGCCCATGTAAGCACGCCTTCCACAGAAAGTAAGTATTGGTATGGAATTATTTAATGAGACCCGAGTTTGAGGGACAGGGACCAACTTCTTTTAAGTTTCAGGGCAATGCCAGACAGGCTTGATGGCTTCATGATTGGTCTGAAATGCAGTAAGTTGACAGCACCCTACAGGTGAGATATGTGTGTGTGTTTGCATGCGTGACATTAGGAGAGAGCAGAATGGTGGAACATGACCACCACATCAGGACTATGGGCAGAGAGCCAAGTGAGCCCATAGCACTTGCAGCCCAGGCAATAAACAGCTCTTTAGCTGGAATTTTCCAATGAGAGCCTCCATCTCCTAAAAACGTATTTAAATCAAAAATTTAAAGTCAACATAAAGTCTGGATATAAATAGTAATGTGAGGCCCTCTCCTACGCTTCCTGCAGACATATTAGTATTTCTTCTTCTCTTATAATTTTGTGTTTTGTATTTCTTTTTTTTTTTTTTTTTTTTTTTTTTGAGACGGAGTTTCACTCTTGTTACCCAGGCTGGAGTGCAATGGCGCGATCTCAGCTCACCGCAACCTCCGCCTCCTGGGTTCAGGCAATTCTCCTGCCTCAGCCTCCTGAGTAGCTGGGATTACAGACACGCGCCACCATGCCCAGCTAATTTTTTGTATTTTTAGTAGAGACGGGGTTTCACCATATTGACCGGGATGGTCTCGATCTCTTGACCTTGTGATCCACCCACCTCGGCCTCCCAAAGTGCTGGGATTACAGGCTTGAGCCACCGCGCCCGGCCTTGTGTTTTGTATTTCTATTAGAAAATTTTATTTTTCCTACTTCCCACCTCCCTCCTCAGTGTACTTTGTTCTTTAAGAAGTCATGGCCAGCTGGGCCGGGTGTGGTGGCTCAAGCCTGTAATCCCAGCACTTCGGGAGGCCGAGGCGGGTGGATCACGAGGTCAAGAGATCAAGACCATCCTGGTCAACATGGTGAAACCCCGTCTCTACTAAAAATACAAAAAATTGGCATGATGGCACGTGCCTGTAATCCCAGCTACTCAGGAGGCTGAGGCAGGAGAATTGCCCGAACCCAGGAGGCGGAGGTTGCGGTGAGCCGAGATCGTGCCATTGCACTCCAACCTGGGTAACAAGAGTGAAACTCTGTCTCAAAAAAAAAAAAAAAAAAAAAAAGAAGTCTGAGGGAATCACATATGATGTGTGGCTTCACACACAGAAGATGGGCAGCTCTGGAGAAGGAGGAGGGGATTGCTGACCCCTTGACCTCTTCCCCCTCCTTCCATCTGTCTCTTCCTTCTCTCCAAGGGGTGACATTGTTCACCATCTAGTTGGGGAGCTCCTTGGACCATACAGCAGACCTTGTCCGGGTGACAGATATGTTCACTGTTCAACACAATAGCCGTGCCATGAGCATAGGACTGATGTTTTCCCCCTGTGGTGTCTCCTTCTGCAGGTGCCTTATTAAGTGGCTGGAGGTTCGTAAAGTGTGTCCCCTGTGCAACATGCCAGTTCTACAGTTGGCCCAGCTACACAGTAAGCAGGACCGTGGACCCCCTCAGGGGCCCCTCCCCGGGGCAGAGAACATTGTATAGCTTACCACAAGGATCAGACTGTTGCTGGACACAACATCCATGTGGAGCCAGGAAGAACACAAGTGGTGTCTGTATTGGCTGCTCTCTACCGAGGACACCAGCTGCCACTTCTTTTGCCTCATGAAGAACTCTTGAGCCAGCCAAGCTGGGAACCTAGGTGTCTGGGTCTTAATGATAACCAAAGCACTTTGACACCCTCTGCCAAGAGAAGAGGAGTAGATGAGCCCGCGGGTTTGCCTCAAGAAACTTCGTGAGAGTCTCTTACTACATTACACTCTCTCTCCTGGAGCCTCATCTCTGTGTCAAGCAGGAGGGTAAAGACGAGAACTAAGAGCAGGTCGTTAAAGCCACACCCCCACCTTCAGATGGATGGGTTTCTGTGCAGGCAGTGCAGGCCTTTGTAGCAGCAAACCCTCCTGGCAGCCCTTGAGTCAAGTAAAACCAGCATAACCAGCCACCAGTGGTTGGTGAGGCAGTGCCCACAAGGCCCATTTATATTCTTTTGGTAAGGCCATCTTGGAACCCAAGGGCCTTGAGTAGCAGTGTCCCTCGCCACCCATTTCCCCCTCAAGATCACAACATGTGCTGTCAGATCATCTGAGCTGAAAGCATTAGATACACTTGGAAAAGCCTGGTCAGAAGCCATTTCCTCTTAGCATTCCCCCTTCTATGCACCAGTGAGGCTCATCGAGAGCCCCAGCAGGGCGTGGACCCTGAGCCCACACTGTTCTTGAGTGATCCAGGGGGCTGCCCACATCCCCACATGTGCAGTGTGGTTTCATTGCAGCTGCTGTGGGCCCACTGCCTCAGGGGGGAGCCACTGTGAACCACTCAAGTGGCTCCAAAGAGCAGTGGCTTTTTGAGAATGGCCCATACTCCTGGCCCAGCTGGACAAGGGGGATGCCAATCGCCTGGCTTCTCCCCCTCCTCCTTCCATCTCTTCCCCCTCTTGCCCTGTCTCTCTTTCTACTTCAGAAAAAACAAATGCCTGTCATTCACTTTTTAACACTTTATCCCAAATAAGATCTCTGTGTAATTCTGAAGCCAGTGATCCACTTGGAATTGTAAATAGTTTCAGGAAGCTCCTGCAGGGCTGTCCACCGTTGGTGTGTGCCTCAGTATTTGGACTTGCGAAACTAACTGAAAGTGTATTTATAGGAGAGAAACGCATGCTGCTCTTGGCTCTTTCTGTCCAACTTTTCTAGAAATGACTCAGAGTCCATTAGGATTTGTGAATATTGTATAAATTAGCTATGGAAAGCAGCAGCAGGTCAGATGGAATATTCTTTTCCACAGCCCTGCTCTCTGCCTCCCTCCATCTTAGGAGCACCTGCCTCAATTCCTCGTCAACTGCTTTGCTCCACTCCATCCCACAGATGTGAGTGGGGGAGGTTTTTCATTAGGAACACAGTCTATGTGACATGGAGAACGGATGGAGGGAGCTTTGCTACTTTGCTCGTGGCATGACTCCAGGATTTCTTTTTCTGGAATCCAACCTCTATCCTCTTATGAGAGAGAACCTGTCCTTGGCTCAGGTGGCTGGGGTCAGATGGGGGAAATTTTCCATTAGTCTACAAAAGTGCTGGACAGAATCCAGTTTGGAAAATTACAAATCCAGTTGGTCAAAATAGGCCATTTCCTATGTGTGACCTAGTTGTGGTATGCCAAACTGGACTGCTTCCTAAACAGGACAAGGAAAGTGAGGAATATTTTTATATGAAAGCCTTAGCCTGTCTGGCACCCATGGAAAGAACTATCTGTGCACTCCTGCTTTCACTGTCTTTTTGCATTCTCTGTTTATAGCACGATAGAGCTAATGCTGCAAAACACTCAGTTTATAGTGAGCTGTTTTTGGTGACCAGTGTCAGAAGGAGGCTTGCTTCTGGACTAGCGTCACTAATGGCCAACAGCCACCATTTTCCATGGAATGGCCATGGAACAGATGTCACCTCTCTGTTACAGGGCTCTAATAGGAAAGAGAATGTTTTTCCCCTCAAAGGAGGAACTTCCTATGATCAATACTGCAAATTATTGCTGCTCACAGCTTTTGTAGGATTCTAGTCTTTCAATTGCAGCCTTTTTCTGTCCCTGTGAATCAGTACTAACAAAAGACAGCCTCACCAAGTCCGTGTATTTGAACAAACGCAAATTAATTCATCTCCCTGTGTCAGAGCCACAGGCATGTTGAGGGGGTTGATACGTAGCACTGGACCAGGGAACACAGCCCAGATAATTCCAGCCATGAGAGGAGAGGAAAGCAAAAGAATGCTCTGCACTCTGCACTCGGCACCAGCTTGGGTTTGCTTTGCCCAGATGAGGGACCACTAACCACCTTCTCAGCACATGTGAATGTGGAGTGATTTTAAAATGCATTCCTTCTGCTGGAATTGGGCTGGAAGCTGGAACAGTGAGAGTTTTTTCTGCTCATAGTCATCTCCTTTTCTCGGTGTGACATCCTTCTGCAGCAAGCCTAGTGTCACTAGCAGTAGTTCCTGCAACTTCTAGCAACACAACCCAAATATCTCCTCCCTGCATCTGGGGTCCTCCACCAGGATGTTCCTGTGCATCTGCATTGCTGTATATGCAAATAGAAGGCATTTTAATTTACATCCTCCTTTAATTCTGATTAAAATCACAGGGGTTTTGTTTGAGAGAAAATCCATTTTTTTTTTTTTTTTTTTTTTTTTTTTAGACGGAGTTTCGCTCTTGTTGCCCAGGCTGGAGTGCAATGGCGCAATCTCGGCTCACCGCAACCTCCGCCTCCTGGGTTCAGGCAATTCTCCTGCCTCAGCCTCCTGAGTAGCTGGGATTACAGGCACGCGCCACCATGCCCAGCTACTTTTTTGTATTTTTAGTAGAGACGGGGTTTCACCATGTTGACCAGGATGGTCTCGATGTCTTGACCTCGTGATCCACCCGCCTCGGCCTCCCAAAGTGCTGGGATTACAGGCTTGAGCCACCGCGCCCGGCAGAAAATCCATTTTTTAAAGAATGTGTTAGGGAGCCCTTTATACTCTCTTGGCTGAGACTTGAACCCCTTTCTACATCTTTCTCCAGGAATTGCTGGGACTTGTTAACTGTTTACATGCATGGGGATTCTGGTCTGCTCTTGGACTACTGGCTGGTATACTTTGTGCGTGTGTTAAGCAACTCAAAGATAGAATGTTGCTAATCTGCTGTGTGTTAGTGGAGCATAACTCAGCCCCAACTGGACTCCACTGGTGGCTGAATCATTATCTAGTAGTTGCTAGCAGGACAGCTCAACTCAGCTGGCTTCAGAAACAGGGAACAAAACCAGCCTGATTTGATTCCTGGTTGGGTTGGCATCAGACACTAGAAGTTGACATCTGCTGCTTTTCTTTGCCAAGAATGATTTGGTTAGGCCTGTCCCTGGCAGATAAGGTCCTTGGAGTTTGTGCTCGCCTATCCGGGGAAGGCAGGACAGAAATGGCCAAATAGGGGCAGGTGGCCCCTGGGAAGGTGTGAGCTGAGGATTACCAGGGACCTCCCACCATTGCCAGATACTCTGTTCTTGAAGATCCTTTTCCCCAGTGCCAAGCCCCTTGGATCCATCAGAGCAATGGCCTCAGGCTTTGTCCTTTTTCACAACCCCACCTCAAAATCACATCATCTCCATGGCCTCATACTGCTTTAAGCTACTTTGAACAACTAGGAATTATTTTTCTGAGAAGCTTCTTGGGAGTTACGAAATATATCTAGGACGGCATCCCCAGAGCTCTAGGCAGAGAGCTGAGAGTGATGGAATCGCCCCTTTGCACTCACTAGCCTTAGGCCTTTCTGCAGGTTAGCCTCTTAGTCTCTTTCCTTATCTACCACCCAGGGATTGTAATAACATCCCTGCCACCTCTTGTGAGGATTTGCTGGTACCCAGAGCCTGGTGAGCAGCAGGCCTGGTGTCACGGAGGCTGCTGATGCCACATAACATCATCTGGGTTACATGGGCTCCTCTGCCATCATGATAGGAATAGAATCTCAGCCCGAGAGCCTCCTGAGTTGCAGGGGTTTTCCCTTGGTCCCAGGTTCACCTGGCCCCTTTCCTCCTTGGTCATCTCAATCTGCCTTTGCCCACAGTGAACTCTGACTTGTTCAGTGCTGAGTATTCCTTTCTTAATGTTTTGAATGTTTCACATGGAGCTGCTCTCTTTCCCTCTCAACTTTTTGTTGTTGAGACACGGTCTGGTTGTCACCCAGGCTAGAGTGCAGTGGCACCATTGTAGATCACTGCAGCCTCAACTTCCTGGGTTCAGGTGATCCTCCCGCCTCAGTAGGTCTCCAGGTGCACACAACTGGCTAATTTTCATTTTTATATATCACAAATCATAAAGTAGTTAAAGCCTTCCTTGAGTTCCTGATGCCCAGAAAGCTCAGCTCCTCGCTCCAGGAGTACCTACTCTTAGTTTGTTCTTTGGGTATCCTTCCAGAGATCATTTGCATGTACACACACGTGTATGTGTGTGTATAATTTTTCTCCTTTTCTAGTGATACAAGTGTATTCAAGAAACACTCCTTCTAATGTGGGAAGAGCCATGCCAGAAATCAGAATATAAAACGTGAACCCAGGCCGGGCGCAGTGGCTCACGCCTGTAATCTCAGCACTTTGGGAGGCCGAGGCAGGTGGATCACGAGGTCAAGAGATCAAGACCATCCTGGTCAAAAAGGTGAAACCCCGTCTCTACTAAAAATACAAAAATTAGCTGGGCATGGTGGTGCGTGCCTGTAATCCCAGCTACTCGGGAGGCTGAGGCAGGAGAATTGCTTGAACCCAGGAGGCGGAGGTTGCGGTGAGCCGAGATCGTGCCAGCCTGGGTAACAAGAGCGAAACTGTCTCAAAAAAAAAAAAAAAAAAAAAAGTGAACCCAGAATTGGGGGATGTTTTTGCAATTACATTTCTGTTGAGTAAGACAAATTTTTTTTTTTTTAAATCAAAGCTTGTATATAAGATTACTTTATTCCTGAATCTTCTCAATTGTTTCTTCCTTGTATTTGCCCTTTTCCTTTGCTACTTGGCGAGATTTGGCTTTCAAGGATCTTTTTGCAGTCTTTGTCCAGTTTTAGCCTAGTGATAACCACCTTGCTGGGGTGAATGCCTACATGGACAGTTGTGCCATTAGCCTTTTCCTGCTGCACCCGTTCAATGTAGATTATGTATCTATTTCTTCCTGTAAACCTGGACTACTTTGCCAATCTGCTGACCTTTATAGTGTCCTCGTACAACCTGAACTTCACCATCCTTTCGGATGGGCATGGATCACACGTTGTACTTCTGTCTCAGCTCTTTGGAAAGAGGGGAAGACATTCCTGCGAATGTGGGAAGGTGCATTGAAATGCCTTTTGCGATTCTTGCTTCGGTCGGAAGTCACAAAGGGATTGAACTTCATTTTGGCAGCTCCCACTTAGGTGATGGCAGCTGACATATTTTCATTTGATTGCAATGCACTGAAATTTTAGTTTTTCCTTTGTTTTGTTTTGAGATGGAGTCTTGCTCTGTTGCCCAGGCTGGAGTGTAGTGGCGCCATCATGGCTGACTGCAACCTCCACCTCCAAGGTTCAAGTGATTCTCCTGTCTCAGCCTCCCAAGTAGCTGGGATTACAGGCACGTCCACCTGGCTAATATTTGTATTTTTAGTAGAGACGGGTTTTGACATGATGGCCAGGCTGGTCTCGAACTCTTGAATTCTGGTGATCCACCCGACAGCCTCCCAAAGTGCTGGGGTTACAGGCATGAGCCACCGCATCCAGCCTGAAATACTAGTTTTCTATACAAAGGCAGTCCCTCCCTTACCCCAAATGCCCAAATAATCCAAGAGCACAGCCAGATTTTTTATTTTCTGTGACAGGACCCTTAAGATCAGACCCTGTAGCCAGTAGCAGTTTCACAGGCGTCTCCCAGCTCTGAGCAGCCTCTGCAGGTTCCTGGACAGCTGCTGGGCCCTCCCCGACCTTGGCCAGTTCCAGGTAAGGACCAATGGTGATGTCTGGCTGTAACTGTCATGGTCTCTTAGGCAAGCTCTTGTTTTTGATGGCAGTTTGAGCAGCAGCAATGAAGGCTTCTGTTTTGTGGGGCAGACATCTTAGCTACTGAGCAAGCACACAGTGAGACATAGTTAACTGTGGATATGCCTGAATGTCAGTTCATGGAGCTGTTCCCTTTCCCTCCCAACTTTTTATTGTTGTTGAGACAGGGTCTCGTCACCCAGGCTGGAGTGCTGTGGCACCGTTGTAGCTCACTGCAGCCTCAACTTCATGAGTTCAAGTGAGCCTCCTGCCTCAGTCTGTAGCTGGGTCTACAGGTGCACACCAGCACCCCTGGCTAATTTTCATAATTCTTATAGAGACAGGTTTCACTATGTTGCCTAGGCTGGCCTTCCTACTGTTTGCACACACTTTAAAAAGAAAATGCTTCTGGCTAGGCATGGTGGCTCATGCCTGTAATCCCCACACTTTGGGAGGCCAAGGTGAGTGGATAGTCTAAGGTCAGGAGTTTGAGACCAGCCTGACCAGTATGGTGAAAACCTGTCTCTACTAAAAATACAAACATTAGCCAGGCATGGTGACACATGCCCATGATCCCAGCCACTCGGGAGGCTGAGACAGGAGAATTGCTTGAACCCAGGAGGTGGAGGTTGTAGTGAGCTGAGATCATGCCACCCTACTCCAGGCTGGGCAACAAAGCAAGACTCCATCTCAAAAAGAAAATGCTTCCTACACAACTTTCCCCTTACCCCTCGTTTTCCATTTGACAATAGAAATTACCCCACCAATCTTTTTTTTTAGTTTAAGTTCATTTTTGTCCCTGGTGATAAAAGAGCTGCTTCCTCCAGGCAGCCCTAGGGGTAGCAGCACAGACTTGTGCCTTGCTTCCCAGCAGCTGCCCAGTACCTTTCGGTCCACACCCACCTCCTGGTGTACCTGCCCTCTACAGCAGCAGCCCAGATCCTCCCCTGGATTACAATTGGAACCCGTCCCATAATCCAAAACTTAGGAAAAAAATGTGGTGTCAACTCCACCCTTCTGGCATTTGTAGAATCTCTGCCCCTGGGTGTATCTTTTCCTGTAGTAGTTACAGAGTTCTTAAGATGGATGTGTCCAAATTCATGCCTAAATATCCAGTTGATAACTGGAAAATGTTGGGTCATGGTTCTTTAGTAAATAAGATTAATAAGGGATTCCCATGTGCCGTGGAATGTGCTTCCATTTGAGCGGAGATATCAGAAGAAAAAACAGGGCTTGCTCAGCAAACCTTACTTTGCCAATTCAGCTATACAGCCCAAATTGTTACAAGATGCAAAGATGTACTCCACTTTTTGACCAAGTGTCAGCACCTTTGGCTTACCATCCGGTCCTCACTTCTGTGACGACAGGGTCAGGTAGAACACCCCCCTGCCCCAGGGACATGTACCTAAATTTGGGTCCCACCAGTGTCAGTCCAAGCCGGGTGGGTCAGCATCTTAGGCCCACTGCACACCATTCCTCTCCATCTTCCCTTCCCTCCCAGGACCCCACCAGTGCTGCGGGGAAGGAGCAAGCAGGTGTAGCCAGTGTTAAGAAGTCCCTTCTGGTGACAGCTGGTCTTCCTAGTGTTGCTGATAACTTGCCTCTGGGTCTTTTGACAGATCATTGCTAGGAAAGA